AGGTGGGCAGACAATGGCAGGTCTGCAGAGCAGCCTTAGCAAATCCTCCACTGTAGCCTGGCTCTCCTATGACACATATGGCCCCAAATCCCAAATCAAACAAACCACTAAACAAAACCCAAAACCAAAACAACAAGACAGATTCCCTCTCATTCTTTCTGAGGTTTCTTTTCTGACAGCTCGGCTCCTTGGAGTATTTGGGTCCCCTAAAGGGGCATATACATTTCCTTTTTTTTTTTTTTTTTTTTTTTTAATGGTCTTGCTCCAACCCAGGGCAGGGAGGAGAGGAACTGGGAGAAAGGTCAGAGGCCGGCAGCCCCTCACCCCACAACACCCGCATTTCCCTTACTCTGTTCAGGCACACTAAACTGTGGCCTAAGAAGTAGAGACTTCAGGCCCATAGGAACCCTCTCTCCCAAAGCTTTCTCATTCTTCAATTTGCCTGTAGGCAGCAACCCCACCCTGTCTGTTCCCCAGGGGCATGAGGAGGTGCCCCCCTGCTCACTGAGCTCTGGGAATGAAGTTTCGCTTCTATTCCAGGTGAACCATTCCCCACCCAACCTACCTGGGTGCATCAGCACACCCCACCCTTGTGGTGCTAGACAGCTGTGGTTTTGATCTCAGCTGCTCTACCCATCAGTCATATGACCTCTCAGAGAATCTTTCTCTACTACGTAATGGAAAGTTGTCATTCTTTTAAAACCAGAGTCTCATCACATGACTTACATGAAGCAGGATCTTCCTGGCTTTCATATTTCCTCTGCTGCTCCATAGGATCTGAGAAAATCTCTTGCCTGCCATTGAAATTTCAATATTGTACTTTCTCCCAGTGTTCTCTGGGAAAAGCAATTCGGTTTTCCTTATTGTTTCCTTGAGTTGCCTTTTAAAGAACTCTGAATGTCTCTTCTTTACCTAACTCCGTACAACTGTCCTCATCTTCCATGCGGCCCAGCTCACAGTCCCTCTGCTGAAGGGCAAGCATCACCTGGCCCTGCACGGGCCACTTTGATGCCACAGGAACATTGCCTGGCTGTTGACCAGGAGCACACTCTTCAACAGATGCCCTGCCATATCCCTGCGCTGTGCCTCCTTCCTTTTCAACCCTAAGCTTTAGCCTTCTCCTCCAGGAAGCCTTCTTGGATTAAAACACTGTTAGTCCATGCTTGCATACATGTTATAAATTACCCATCTGCACTTGCTTCTTTTGTCTGCGTCTGTATCACTACACATACATCCCTAATCATAAATACAATAAACATAGCTAACACTTATTAACAACTTACTATGTGCCAGGCACTGTGAACCCTACCAAGCACCTTACATGCAAGTTTTGATTTAATAATCTCAGTGCTCTTGTGAGATGGGTACTATTGATGTTTCTTTTAATAGATAAAGAACCTGGGGCTTAGAGAGGTTAGTTTTCTTAAGGTCATTCAGCCATTAAGTGATTGAGCCAAGATCCTAAAACCACTGACTCTGAAGTCTATAGTGCTGTCTGGCAGAACTTTCCATGATGACAGAATTGCTCTGTATCTGTGTTCATTACAGGATCCATTAGCCACGTGTGGCCATTGAACACCTGAAATGTGGCATGTGTGACTGAGGAACTGAATTTTAAATTTTATTTAATTTTAATTAATTTAAATTTAAATACTCACGTGTGGCTTCTGGCTCCTGGCTACTATGCTGGATAGCACAACCCTAAAACCTGAACTTGTGCTATAGTATACAAACAGTGTTAACCAAAACTCAGGATCCAGTTACTAATTTTGGTTGGACCAAGATAATTAAAAATAATTGGAACCAGAAAAATAAGAAATAAAAATAAGCAAAAGCAATAAAATCAATAAATTTGTATCTATAGGCGTTAGTATTTGAGCATCTCATGTTTAGTGGGGGGTGTGTGTGTGTGTGTGTTTGTGTGTGTGTGTGTGTATGTGTGTGTGTGTATGTGTGTATATGTGTGTGTGTGTGTATGTGTGTGTGTTTGGGTGTGTGTGTGTGTGTGTGTGTGTTTGTGTGTGTGTGTATGTGTGTGTGTGTGTGTGTGTGTGTGTGTTTGTATGTATGTGGTTCTGGGAGAAGGCAGCAAATGTGTCTCTTTCTTTTTTGTTCTCCAGCCTCGTGGCCTGGATTGGAGTGAATATGTGAACACTGTGCAAATTAGCAGTGAGATTTACTTGCATTCATATGAGAGTAAGATTCTATGGGATTCATTCTTAACTCCCGAGTTGCCACTTTGTGTCTTCTTTGGTATGCTATCTCAGAGCCTTACTTTCCTCATCTGCAGAGTTTGAAGAATGTTGTGTGTATCATGCTTTTTGTACTTATGTTAGGTATCATCATCTACGATCCCAGCCCTTCACTAAAGCCTCGGCATTCTTGGCCACAGGGTGGGTCCCAGCTCTCTTGATACTTTTATGTTTATTTCTGATTCCACCTCTGTGCCCTAAGTGTGTTCCATTTCTCCACTGGACTGGACATTTCTGGAGAGCAGAGGCTGTTTCTCCTGCCCCATCTGACCTCCCCTGGAGCCCCAGGGCAGGGCCCTGGCCCAGGCACTGGCTGAGTCTGCTCCCTTGTTCTTGAAGTCCCCTACCACATCCTGGATGTTCTTTAACTCCACATCCAGCCTCCCCTCCCCTCCACCCAGGCAGTCCAGCTGCTGCCTCATGTTGTTGATGTGGGCAACAAACATGGGCTCAAAATTGGCCCTGACGATGTTTTGGTCTTGCAGGAAGCTCCATTTAGTCACCAGGACTTTGTTCTCCTGTTCCAGAAACCACACCTGCCCCAGCCAGAGGTAAGAGACTGAGAGAGCTTCCATGCAGGAGCCTCCCAGAAGGCTCTGGGATATGGGATCCCTAACAGTCCAGGGAGGTTCTGCACAACCTGGACCTCAGAGTCCAGGCGGCAGCCTCTTTCTCCTCTTTCTCAGCCTGGAAGGAGCCTGGAACGTAGAGAGCCAAGCAGATGTTGGGGCAATGGGCTTGGGAGACAAATGGTTTGGTTTGGAGAGGGAAGAAGCAGGAAGAGTCAGAGGGTCTGGCACCAACCAGGTGCATGTGTGGTAATTCAAGAAAAGAACACTCCACCATCATGTTACCGGGTAAAGTTTTGAATTCCATTAAACGGGCAGGAGGTCCTTGGCAGAAAGTTTAACATGTCCATTTTCTTTCTGACATGATCTCTCTAGACCTAGAATCTGGACTCAATTGCCCATATACTCTGGGAATGCTGCAATGGGTCACACTGGAGTTGAACTGCGAGGACCCGGGTATGTCCCCAGCCATGTCCATCATGAGCCATGTGGCCTTGGGCCAGCCCCCACGTCCCTTCCTCTCTCTGCTCTCTTGAGTCCTTTGTGGTCTTGTGCAGCCAATTTGGGTTTCTTGAATAACCCTCATCTCACCTCAATGTGGGAGACAGACTTGGGAAATACACACAATTTTCCCCCTTAAACAAAGTTCCCAGGACAAGGTATGGGGATTGGGGTCTGGAGCAGACGTGGGGCAAGCCTGAGGGTTTTCGGGCCCCCTACCCACCCAGGCTCTCAGCCACACATTGCGGACACTCCTGTAGCCTCTCGTCTGAACTCCCTTCTCTATTCCCAGGTCTTGGGCTCTGAACCCAAAGCCACTAAATTATGCTCCCTCCCATTCTATTCACTTATGATTTCTAAAAATTCATTTATTGGAGATTCAGTCTGTGCCGCACCACATGGCAGGTCAGCCGCAAGCATGATTTCATTTGATTCTCATAATAACTTTGTGAGGGTGGATGATAAAAATAACGACGATTTTGAATATTTTTTGAGCAGCCACTATGGGTAGCTGGTTTCCATGTATCTTCTTTAATCTGAAATAGCACTACAGGGGTCATTGTTATGATTCTTGTTTGACAAAGGAGGTGATTGAGGCACAGTGTAGTTAGGCACCTTGGCTGAGGTCACGTAGCTAGTGAGCACTGCGGCCATTGTCAGAACCCTGACTCCCGGTCCCATGCCCTGAATCATTGCACCCCACACAGATGGGAAAATCAGGCCAGAGAGGAGAGGCATTTTGGCCAGTGGAGAAAGCCTCAAGATGTCACTCCGAATTCCTGTCCCTCCACTTCTCTCCTCTCTCAGTCTGAACTTGCCCTTACCCCAACACTGGGGATTTCACAATTGTTCTCAGTGTCATTTCACTCCTTCCTGCCATCCTCCCCCTCCCATCCATTCCAAATTTTAGCCCCTGGTTTTACACTCATCTTCCCTTCTGATTCAAGGCCTCCCTCTCCCCCCACTTCACTTCCTGCTCCTTCACCCTGGACAAAGGTGTTTTAGAACCCTGGCTCCCAAGTAGCTTACATCAGTCCTGAGCTTAGTCCCGAGCAATGAACCCACTCCCTCCAAGCCCACATCGACTGCCCCACTCTGGGTGAGCCCACTGGGCTATGACCCAGCTCAGGCCTGATGGGAGGGGTCCAGGAGACTGTAAACTCAGGAATGTGGGAGCTTTCTGGATGTCTCACTGCTGCCTGCAATTATGGGCTAAATGGCTCCTCTCCTTGGTGAAAGCGTTGCTCCCAGGGCTGCCTTTTAACTCTTCTTCGTGGCCTGTTATTTCTCTGCTGGGTCTGCAAGTTTGAAGCTGTCAGGGAACAATCAGCCCCTCTGCTGGGCCGCCCACCCGGCGTCTGCATTCTGGAACACTGGTTTGGAACAGGGACGGCACCAACAGAGCAGGGAGGCCAGTCTGGGCTTCTCCCAGTAGCTCCAGCTCCCCAAACAATGCATGCCAAAGAGAGGGAAAAGGAAGTCTGGCCAGCCCTGCACTCCCTGCTCCTCTGCAGCCCGCCCTCCCTTCCTGCCAGCCAGCCTTCTTAGCTCAGAGGGAAGGGGCCAGGGCTGATGCCTCTGAGCACTGCTTGTGTGAGGCCTGTTCTGGGAGCAGGCCTGGGGGAGGAGGAGAATTACTTTGGGTCCGTCACCATTCCAAACAGAGGACCAGACAACAAACAGGTGACACATGCATTTAATAGGCACATTCCAGGGAGGGAACAGAAGGAGCGCTCACTCCCAACAGGCTGCTTATAAACACGATGAGACAGGTGGGTGACAACCTAGCGTTGAGACAGACTCCCCAACCTCTGCATCTGGAGGGAGGGAGGGAGGTGGAGCTGGAGGAGGACTTTCCAGCTGCCTGGGCCTCACAAGATAGGCTGAATGAGAGCCTCGGGAGAGAGCAGGTTTTGGTTTTACATGTGTAGCAGACAGGTGCTGCCGGCAGTCTGGGCACTGTCAGGAGGGAGAGGCTAGCTTAGGCCTGGGAATGGGGTGTAGCCAGTACTCCAGGCTCCCAGCAGCACAGGTGCACCTTACAAGGAGAGAGGAAGGAGGAGGACCCAGGTGTCCAGGTGTGACTGCAAACAGGCCTCAAGGCAGGGGAGAGGGAGCCATGCGGCTCTCTTAGTGCTTGTAGCTCTTCCGGCTGGAGGATGTGGTAGAGACAAACTTGACACTAGAACCACTGCCCCCTAGGCCCCGGTTGCTGGTGGCACTGAAACCAGAACCTCCCAGGCCTGCACCCAGGCTATGCCCGCCACTGGTGGTGAAGGAGTAGCCGCTGCCCCCACCGAGGCCCAGGCTTCCACCTCCAATGCCGCTGCCGCTTCCATAGCCACTGGAAAGAGTGGAGGTGACCACAGCTGCCGGGAAGAAAGGAGGTGTGGTCAGATCAAGTGCAGGAGAGAAGACAGTGGGAGTGTCAGGGCCTGTGCCCTGGAGTCCTTTGGTGGGGAGGGGTGGTCTCATCAGCCAGCAGTTTGCCTCCTTCCAATATCCCCTGCTTAGTGAGATCACTGCCATATGCCTAGGCCTGTGTTCCTGAGCTGCAGCTCCAGGCAGCCTCTCAGGCAGGAATGGCTTCCTCCTCCCCTTCTAGAACCTACTGGAGCCCTCTCCTCCTGGAAGCAGCTCCAGTCCACCCGCTTTCCCTTTGATCTTCCTGCTGTGCCATCTGGGCCTGTCTCCCTCTCCGGGCCTGACTCCAGAGTTTCTCTTCCTTCTAGATGCTCATCGGGGGAGGGGCACACTCCTCTTCCCTCAGGGTCCCCCAGCCCCACACTCAGAGTCACAGAGTGGAGGCTGGAATATTCTTGATGGATCAAGTGACAGATTAACCTGTTGGCCAGTCAACTGTGCCCCAGTTCTCCTCCCAACCTATTCTTCTCCTAATTTACAACTCATCCCCTTACACATTCTAATACCCTACTTAGGGTTCTGCAGAAGGAAAATCAAATAAAAAAAATAGACTCCGTTACAGAATGAACCGTGTCTTTGAAAAACCTATGGTGAAGTGTTAACACCAGCATCCGTGAATGCAGTCTTATTTGGAAATGGGATTGTTGCAGGTACAACCAAGTTAAGATAAAGTCTGTAGGGTGGGCTCTGATCTAACATGACTGGTGTCCATACAGAAAGAAGGAAGACATTCATCTGAAGCCACAGACACACAGGCACACGGTCATACAATCACAGAGACAGAGTGGAGGGATGCAGCCACAAGCCAAGGAACACCGAGGATGGATGGCCACTGCCAGAGCTAGGAGGAGGCTGGAGGGGGGCTGGGCCACCATGTTCCAGGACTCCATCTGGTTTGGAGAGGGGATAGCGCCACCCTGCCTGACATACAGAGCAGGAGGTTGGCCTGGGCTCCAAGTTTCAGAGGGAGCAGGGCCCTGCTAACCCCTAATTTCAGCCTCCGGAACTGTGAGACAAAACATTTCTGTTGCTTTAAGCTACCTGACTGGTGGTACTTTGCTGCAGCAGACCTGGAAAACTAATACAGACAATGAGGTGTTTTCAAGAGAAAAGGAGCTTCAAGGTTATGCTTGAAGGTCTGTCCCCAAAATTAGCTTAGAGGGTCTCCGGCACCACCAGACAAGGACATCAGGGAAGAAGGACACCTGGGTGGTTCAGACGGCTTTGCCTTCTAGAATCATTGGCTAATATAATCAATTGCCCTTATGAATGCCCACCAAGAAAACCAAACCCAAACTGATTTGTAGAGGGTGAGTTGTAAGAGTCATTTCTGTTGCCCTTGTGATGCCAGCACTGAGCTCTGTGAGTGACCACTTCTCTCACCAGCACAGGGCCATGCCATCTTGTTAATAACTCTCCTGTTTTAGAGCTACTGTACCTAACTGTCATATTTTATGCTGCCCTCACTGCTTTGAAAACCCTTGGCATCTTTCTGCAGATATACTCTGCAGAACTGAGCCAAGCAGTGGAGCTTCTTCAAAAATGGTTTGGGAGACAAGCTGCCTAGTTGGCAATGCTCTTGTCTGCAGCATAAAGCCTCCCTTTAAAGGTCCAAGCCAGACCAGGAATTGTCATAAATCCTGTCTTCATCAAATGCTCACTTCTGTGCTGGGCTTGCAGCCCCAACAAAAAAGGCAGGGAATTCTGGCAGGGAGGAGATGTGGCCAGGATCTTTTAAACCCACTCAGAACAATGACAACAAATCTCCCATCACCCCTTCTGTGACACCCTCACTCTCAAAGAGGAAAGAACTGTGACATCAAAGACTCTCCTAATATGGCTTGCTTTGTAAGGGACTCAAAACCTCCAACCTTCTCCAAATGAACTCTGTCTGTGAGGTCCCTTCTAACCCCTCATATCTTCACCCTCCTGCAGGCCCACCACATCCCCATCCCCTCTACCACACACACTCCAAATGGCACAAGAAGGATGTCATACTCACAAATGTTAACTGGAGAAACTCCCTCTCCACTCAACCTGATTGGGAAGAGCGGGGAGAAGAAAGGTTACCAATGTGGCCAGCAGCTTATGGGCCTTTGCAATGACACTTTTGTAATTGTTTTCAAAGCATTTAAACATACTTTATTGTTTTTATTGCAGAAGTAATACAGGTTGAAATTATTTGAGAACTAGTAATATTAAAGATAATATTAATAATCTAATGAATAAAATAAGATGGAGTTTGAGGTTCATAGGAGCAAAAATCTATAATCTCAGAAATCCATTTTTTGGTTTAAACTAGTTAGATGCCTTAAGGAAATTAAAAGTAATCATACAATGGCATCAACTGGATAGGAAGGGCCTGTCCTATAATAAGATTTGTCTCTCAACAAGGGTCCATTGTCAAGCACTGAGCCAGCGCAGAGCTTATTATACATAAGTGTGGAGAGGAGTCTGAGTCATAAAAATAACAATAGTAATATCAGTTTATTATTATCTTAGTAACCAAGTAACTTTGCTTTAGCATCTTCAGGACAGAACTGGCATTCATTCATAAACACATACTGAGAATCTTAACAAGAGCTAACAGTTGTTGAGTATCTGTTACCTACATCACACCACTCAGTTCTCTCAACAACCCCATGAGGTAGGTATTATTCACTCACTTTTGTAGAGGGAGAAATGGAAGCTCAGACAAGTTAACTAACTTGCCCATAGTCACAAAGCTGGATTTGAAGCCAGATTCATCTGACACCAAAACCTATGTCTTTGGCCACGAAGCTGAATGATAGCTAACATTTATTGAACACGCTGTGTACCATGCATTGTTCTAAGAGCTTTGTGTGTATTCCCCTGTTTTAACCCTTTTAATAATGTGAGAATTTAGAACTATTGTTATTTACATTTTATTGGGTGAGAACACTGAGACATGGAGAGGTTAAGTAATCTGCTCTTGGCTACACAGCTTCTAACTGGTAGAGCACAAAACTCCCATGAAGCTTTGCAGATCATGTAATCTGACCTTTTCATTTTATCATTGAAGAAATTGAGGGCCAGAGAAGGGAGACTGACTTTCCCAAGGTTATGTAGCTACTTAGTGGTAGATCTGTAAGCCCAAATCCTAGGACTGTTTGTTTTCAGCCTATGGCCTTTTAGACCACATTTTGAGAGCTGCCATGTAACCAGATGTCTCCTTTGGTAGAATTCATTTACCTAGACCTGATCAGGTTTTAGGTTTCCATGGGGGTACTAATTGTAGTTGCACCTCAAATGATTTACTAGCCTGGAAGGAAATTAAAATTACTTTTTTTTTTTTTTTTTGCCATAGCCCAATTCTGAGCTGCATTTTCTTCCAGGAGAAGAAGGGGCTGCAACAGCCTGAGCCCCTAGGAATGCCCAGGAAGCTGGGGGGAACTCAACTTGCTTTGAGGATGAAGTTGGTGCATCTATCTCACCTGCACTCCTCGCCCTCCAGCAGCTTGCGGTAGGTGGCGATCTCCACGTCCAGGGCCAGCTTGATGTTCATCAGCTCCTGGTACTCACGCAGGAGCCGAGCCATATCCTGCTTGGCCTTCTGCAGAGCCTCCTCAAGGTCCACCAACTTGGCCCGTGCATCCTTGAGAGCCAGTTCTCCACGCTGTTCTGCATCAGCAATGGCTGTTTGCAAGCTGGAGCACTGTAAGGACAGGAGGAAACCATGAATCCTGCTGACAGCCCATGGAGGTGTGGTGCTTCTTGGGGAGGAGTTCTTAAAGATGGCAGAATGGCCCAGAAGAAATGAGCATTTGAGGAGCTCTTGGCCCTGCCAAAACTTTACCTGCTTCTTGACGCTGTCGATCTCAGCTCTCAGCCTCTGGATCATGCGGTTCATTTCAGAGATCTCTTGTTTGGTGTTTCGAAGGTCATCCCCATGTCTGCCTGCTGTGACCTGCAGCTCCTCATACTGAGAGAACCAGAGCAAACTCAGTCACTGAGTCAAATGCCTGGCCCGGGCACTCGCTGTGCACACAGACTCACCCTGGGTGCCACAAGCAGGCTCATTTATTCCTGGTCATTCACTCCTTCCCCCTGAAGCTTACAGTTTATTGGGGGACATAGACATTAATTGAATCAGCATATGATCAAATGTATAGTTCCACACTGAGATAAGTGCCCTTAGGAAATGAACAGTGTAGTGAAGGAATCTGACCTAGAGTTGGAAGTGGGGAGTGGTGGTCAGGGAAGTCTCTCCAGAGATGGAGAGGCCTGAGCTATGGTCTGAAGGATGAGAAGGAGGGACCTAAGTGACCAGCTGTGGGGGAGAACATTCCAGACAAAGGAAACAGCCTGCATGAAGGCCCTGGGTCAGGAAAGGAACATGGTGAGTTCTAGGAGTGAGATGGTGATTTGGTCACTATCCCTGGGGAGTTTCTGGTCACAAAGCATGCATCCAGACCAACTGTGCTCATGAATTTTGGTAGCCCACCAAACACCAGTGCTGGGGAAACAGGGAGGAGATATGGGGGAACGGTGTGGGATGGTACAGAGGCTGTGGAAGGCACAATTTTGAAGTCTTTGTAAAAGTATTTCCAATCTCAGGTAGTTCTCAATCTAATGGTGCATATCCAGGACACAGGACACATGAATTTAAGAGCGATAATTACACCCTGTCTCCTCCAGCAGACTGAAGTGAAATGTACACCCTTCCCCAACACAAGGAGATCCCCTGCCCGAGTCAAGATCTGTGAGGTTCTTGAAAGTGCTGACGAGCTCAGCTTCCTGTTTCTATACACGATTAAATGGAGCAACAACCCAACAACATGAGGAATTGTTTGCTATCGATTTCAACCACTTCACCTTGGGGTTAAGTGCATCATGTTTCCTCTCACCGTCAAGGCGCTGCCTCTGCGCTGTGGACCCCTGGCCCCTGCTACCCACCTTCCTTTCCACCACACTCCTGACCAGATGGGACTGAGGCAGTGCATGGAGCAGGCAAAGAGTAGGAACCAGCTTGTAAGTGAGCAGCTGCCCCAAGAGGGGTCTGGATTTGGCAGGGAGCTGGTATCGTGGGTCACCTGTACCCTTCCAAAGCCAAACATCTTTGTGGCTGTCTGAGCTCTGGGAAGTAGCTGTTTGTGTTTATCCCAGCCTTCCTCTTCCTGACGTAAACTCCCTTGCTTGTTTCTGCCTGCCAGCTCCTTGTTCAGCCTTAAATCTCTCCCCACTCCTCGGCAATCTTTTGTCCCTCATGGCTTCCCAACTGGACAAAGCTCCCACGTCTTCCTGGAAGCTTTTTATTCATGCTATCTTTTCCCTTCCATGATTGTCTATTCACTTCATGGCCTTCCAGAGCTTGGGTTCTCTGTTTGCAGTTTATTCATTTGCAACCCTGTAACCTTGATTGGCATACAGCAGGAGCTCAGAAAATTTATAGAGAATAAATAAGCCTTTTAGAAACTGCTTCATGACTGTGTCTCAGTTGTCCTGGTGTCTCACTCTGCTGCCACCCAGATCTTGAGGAATATGGGGCCGGTGGATGTCCCGAGCTCCCAGCATTGGGTTGATCACATATTAGTGTGCCTGGTTGGGCTTCCACATGCATTTTAAGCTAAGTTTTCATAGCATCAAAGACATGCCTGCTAAGTTGAAATAAACGAATGTGCTCACACATTTCCTGAGGTTGAGTTAAGTGATAATGTGGAGCCTCAGAGAACACTAACCCTGGAGCCTATCATGCAGGTGTCCATGCTCACCTTGGTCTGGTACCAGGACTCAGCCTCGGCCCGGCTGCGGTTGGCAATGTCCTCGTATTGCGCTTTGACCTCGGCGATGATACTGTCCAGGTCCAGGTTGCGGCTGTTGTCCATGGACAGCACCACTGACGTGTCACTGACCTGGGTCTGCAACTGGGACAGCTCCTGCAGGGCAGTAAACTCAGCATCACCAAGGCATAAGAAGAAGGATCTTAAATCTTCATGGTTGACTACCCATCTAGGTCAGGAATCCTTTCCTTGGTATTCCTGGAAGATTCTCCCAGCTGTTCCCTAGGTATTCCCATTCATCCCCAAAGATCAGTGTGGTGAAAGTCTTTCCCAGCCTTGCTTCTCAAGGCTCCCATCTGTGTGCTTTCCCTGGGCGTAAGGATGGATAAGCATCTTCTGAATTAGAATTGCACAGATTTGAATGTGACATATGTCTGTTCAGTCTGCCAGCATAAAAGCCTTCTTCAAGAGCATCAGGGGACATCTGGGACCCTGCTTCCCCCTGCGTAGTGTGACTCCATCACTTTCCACCTCTCTCTCTCTTTCCACAGACCCAGGTCTCTGCCTTCGGAGGGTTAGCGCTCAGAAGGAGGCATCTTCAAAGGGCAAGAAGCCCCCTGACCAATGAGCTGAGGGGTAGCTTGCTTTTTTTTCTTTTTAAATACTTTTCAGGGAAGGGGAAGGGAACAGGTATGTCTTGATTCCTTGGGAAAGTTACCCAGTGACCTTGAATTTGGGAATCAGTACTCTCTCCTTGCTAGATGTTGTCCTTTCATGGGATGAGGGAGTTCGGGGGAGAAGCATCAGAGCTGGGGTAGTTTAGTATGATAAGGCTCCAAGCAGTTCTCCCTGGTCCCCTTACCCCCAAGCCCCAGCTTGAAGTATCCAGGCAAGATGTTGGGCAGAGGCACTGAGTAAATGAATGACACAATGCATCATCCTTTTCTTTCCAGGCCCCAGACCTAGGAGGGACAGAAATACTTGCAGACTCTTACTGCATCAAAGACTGAGTGGAGGAAGTTGATCTCCTCAGGCAGAGATTTGACCTTGGCCTCCAGCTCCACCTTGTTCATGTAGGCAGCATCTACGTCCTGGAACGACAGCACAGGATGCTTCTTTGAGTCTGCAGCCCCAAGCACTTAGCCCAAAAGAAGCTGAGCAGATTTCTCCCTAGCCCATCTAGTTTGGATTTTAGAAAACTCTGTGTCTGGGGGATTTGGGGTTGGGGATGGGTGATTACTAAGAACTGGGACTTGAATCCCTGAGCTCACAGAAACCCAAGTAGGGCTAATGGGGCCATCAACGTAGAGGGAACATGTTAGGAGGTTTGAACCCTGCAGATATTCTCATGGTAGATGTGACATTTTTTTGGTGGCCCAAGGGTCAGAGATCAGGTTACCCGACACTCCAGATTCTGTTTTAAACCTTTTCCTTTGAGAGACATCCCCACTCACCTTTTTCAGGGCTACAAATTCATTCTCAGCAGCCGTGCGCTTGTTAATTTCATCTTCATACCTATAAGGACAGAGGAGGGGGTGTGCTGTTGAGTAAGTTTGCATTGAACTCTTCCTGGGCTGGTGTAGCAAGAGTTAAGAGCCCTCGAATCATTTCCAGCTCTTCCGCTGACCTGGGCGTGACTTTGGGTGATTCACCTAACCTCTATTTCTCCCTCCATAAAAGGGGGATAATTTCTTCTGCTAGTTTTTAATAAACTTTTCTAAGAGTAGAAGGTGAGCATGGAACTTAAAGGAATAGAAAAATGTACTTAGGCAATTCCATCTTTTGATAGATATGCAATGCCAATCTTTAAAATGGTTTTCCACCTCAAGTGTCTGCTGAAATCGTGGAGTAAACTTTATCTGTTCAGCAGGCTCTTTCAGGTACATTTTGATATATTTTCACTGAACCTCAGGGTGGCCCCCGAGAAGTATGCTTTTTGTAACTAGGGGTAGCTCAAGCTCAGAAATAAGGGCAAGCTGGCTAATGGGTTAGCCTGGGCCAAATCCCTTTCCACTGGATACCTCACCTACTGCAGCCTGGATGATGTGCAGTCAAAAGTTGCCCCCCACAAGGAAGGTCAGATTGCCTCCTTTAAACTCTTCCTTGCTACCTCTCTTCACTCCACAGTGAATGCCATCCTGGAAATGCAAACCATCCCAGTAATTGAGCCCATGTCCAATGGAATTAAACAATATACTGACTGTGAAATTACATTATGATTTCTAGAGTGAGTAGCAATGTTTTGTCGGATGATGCTGATACCCCTTTGTAGTCATGTGGACAAAAGGAATAGGATCTTCATCAATAGAGATGCACGAGATGAAGGTCCTTGTGTTACCCCACACAGTGCTGTCTCCACCTTGAGGGATAACAGCTACAGTTCCAAAGCTCCCAGCTGATACCGGCATTTGCTCCTTTGCACCTCTCTGATCCTCATACAAAGGAGCCTTAGGATGGTTGTGTGTGGCCAGAAGCCAGTGTTCCACTTACCTGACTTTGAAATCTTCTACAACATCCTGCATGTTCCTCAGCTCAGCTTCAAGCCTGCCCCTCTCGGTGGTGATGCTTTCCAGCTGCCGTCGGAGCTCACTGATATAGGAATCAAAGAGGGGCTCTAGATTCTGCCTCACGGTCCTGGAGCCCTGCTCCTGCAGGAGGGCCCACTTGGTCTCTAGGACCTTGTTTTGCTGCTCCAAGAACCTCACCTGGAGGGAAGAAGAGAGAATGAAACCTTGAGAAGTTGGAGAGGCAGAGTCAGACACTCCTATTCATAAGGGAGAGAAGAAAAAGATATATTTTTTTCACGTGGCACCCATTGACAATAATGTAACTGACAAGTCCAACGCAGAAGGAGGCAGTCCATGGAGCTACCAGAAAGTTCCCTAGGGCTTGCATAGGATTTGGGTGGTGGGGCCTAGAGGCTTCTGTTGGCTGCTTTTGGGTTAAATTTCTCAATACCACCTACTCTGGGTTAGGGTAGTTTGCTGAGCAGCAACTCTCCTGTAGAGAATCAACTAAACTCTTCCCTTGGTGTTGACTGAACCAGCCCGCGTGGTTGTGAAAGAGAGGAAATTTTTGCCAGGTCCTGTGGGGCAAGCTGGCCTGACTTGAAAGGGTCTCAGCCCCTGGGAGGCCTTGCTGAACAGTGCTCATTCCCACAGTGGAGTCGTTTCATTATTGCTCTCCCACTATGGGATGGCCCTTCCAAGAGTTTATTCGATACCAAACCCAAGGGGGTGGATGAAGCCCCTGCTCACCTTGTCGATGAAGGAGGCGAACTTGTTGTTGAGGGTCTTGATCTGCTCGCGCTCCTCGGCCCGTACCCGCTGGATGGTGGGGTCGATTTGCAGGTTGAGAGGAGTCAGGAGACTCTGGTTGACGGTGACCTCTTGGATGCCTCCAGAGGGACACACAGGGAAGCTGGGGCCACTGAAGCCTCCTCCAACTCCACCCCCATAGCCAAATCCACTGTTGACTCCAAACCCACTGCTGGCCCTGCCACCAAAGCCACTTCGGAAACTGCTGCCACACCCACTGATGGAGACCCACTTGGCACCCCCCAGGTTGTAGAGGCTGCGGCTTCCAAAGCTGGCCCCAGCACTGCTGATCTTTCCCAGGCCCCCATTCCCCGCTGCAGAGCGGGCCACAGAGACAGAGCTGAAGCGAGAGCGGCCAGTTGCTGGGGTGGTGGCCGAGGTGGTGCTGAAGCCCCTGCGGCTGCCAGACTGGAAGGTGATGGAGGACTGCCGAGACATGGTGGGTGAGGAAGTCTGGTGAGAAGGCACCTGAGGTGGGCTGGTGCAGGCAGTGGAGAAGACAGGTGGCTGGGGAGCCCTGAGCCCATGACTTTTATGAGCATCCTGCGGGGGCGGGGCACTGCTAATGGAGAGGGCCTTCTGATGGCATCCCCTGGGCATCCGCCAACCCTGAGCTCACACTCGACATCCCTCGGGAAATGGTGTAAGGGCCACTCGCTGGTTCCCTGGCACCCCCTCCCCACAACGTGCAAACTCCTTTCCAGTTGCAACTTGATCAGCAGATGAGTAAGAAGCAAGTTAATTGCTTTCCGTCATGTGCTAATGATGCATCTTGTAAAGGACTCAGCAAACGCTGCCTCATTTCTAAACCGCTTTCTTAGGCCTGGGACCAACTCCTTCCTGTCCAAACATCTTGTGTTAATACAAGCCACTGTGCTTCACTGTTTCCTTGGGGTGCTTCCTATTCCCTAAGCATTTTCTCAGCAGCTACTGCCTGGTTCCCCAAGCCCCATCAAGCTATCTTTCCAGACCTTGAAGGTCCTGCTCTGTAATCATCTTCCTTAGTAATCCACCCCTCTTTGATGGCCCCTTTATTCTGCTCTTAATTTTCCATATCTATTGTGTAGGTCACACACGTGGTTTTCTGGAGCGTGTGTGTGCCTGTGCCCTGCCCACTGCAATATAATGTGACTCTCAAGGCCAGCCAGCGCTCTGTCTCCTGGGGACAGAGGTTGTGAGGGGCAGAAGACTTGGGTTTGAATCTCAGACCTGCTCATAGTTGTGGGACCTTGAGCAAGCCATGAAACTTTTCTGTGCCTCAACTTGCATGTCTGTAAAATGGGGTTTGTGATGAATATTCACATGTGAAAACTTTTGCAAGGCCTGATACATGTAAGTGCTGAGTAAATGTCTCTTGAGGCTTCCCTGCTTCTGATACAATGAAGTAATATTAAGGAAGTGCCAAACATGTGTCCATCCTGTGACTAGTCCTATGGGAATTCAAAAGAAACACAATGAACATTATTTACCTTCAACAAGTTCATGGTCCTGTTGGGAAGATAAAACTGTACAAGATGGTGTACCATGAAGCATTACCTCCAGGCTGCATTTGAGGCTGCCTATCCCAGAAGTCTTCCAGTCAGGTCCCTCCTCCTCCTGAGGACCAAGAATTCCTAGCTCTCCAGTCCTTCATCAAAAGAGCTCCAACAGCTGCACCTAGCAGAGGATTTGTTATTTCCCTGTTTCTCCTGTTAACCTTGTAGATTGTCCCCTACATTCTCCATTAGTCTACAAACCACAAAGAACACTTCAAGGCACCTCATCCTTCTGTTCTGCAACTCATTGTCCCGTCTCTACCATGGCAAGAGTCAGACCAAACATAGCTGGATCTTCTTCCTTTTTTTTTTTTCTTCCTTGAGACAGGGTCTCACTCTGTCACCCAGGCTGGAGTGCAGTGGCTCCATCTCGGCTCACTGCAACCTCCACCTCCTGGGCTCAGGTGATCTTCCCACCTCAGCTTCCTGAGTAGCTGGGACTACAGGCATGCTCCACCACGCCCATCTATTTTTTTTTTTTTTTTTACTATTTTGCTCAGGCTGGTCTTGAACTCCTGAACTCAAGTCATCCATCCTCCTTGGTCTCCCAAAGTACTGAGATTACAGGCGTGAGCCACCGCACCTGGCCTGAATCTTCTTTTATCTTGCTGCCTGCTTTCTTCTTGCTGTGGTTTTGAAAGCTGGGAGAGTAAGAGAGGAATTAATCAGCATTCAGTCTCCATTTCATGGATGAGGGCATTGAGCCCAGAATGGTTAACTAGCCAGACAGACCCACAAGAAGTAGAGCCAGATTCCATGGTCTTTCCACACAGGTGTCCTTTTAGGGGCACACTGGTAACCGACCATTTGGCAGACGTTCTCACCTGCCTGGAATGGCAGCTTGGCACTCGGAGCGGCAGTTCTTTGTTCTCTAAGCTGTTTCCTCCTTGGGACTGAGGCCAGGGGGAGGCCTCTCCCCCATCTAGAGATTATTTGGGAGTCTCAGTTTGCACAGGAAAGATATGAATCATAGCTTGTGTTGATACAGGCCAGGAAGAGCAGAGGAGTTCCCTCACCTGGTTCCGTTGCCAACCCCAGCCAGGGTGGTGCATGGTTCTCAAGTGGAAAGAATAATTGTGTTTGTTTTCTGTACTCTTCATTGCATGATAATCTGGCCCCCAGAAGAAAGGACACTTGTTTCCTGAGCTGTGCTGAGCAAATGCTTGCAGAGCTTTCCACAAAACAAAGGCCTTGGAGGGTCCGGGTGTGGGGAGTGGCTGGGCCAGCATGTCCACGGGAAGGGAGGTCCCCAGCCTTCTCTCACCATGCTTCCCATGTGGGAAGCTGGCTCCAGGCTGACTTCCCTCCCAGCCATTCCTTTCTTTCCCATGTTCCCTGCTGGGGCCCTCTTCCTAGTCACTTCATCTCATTCTGTTTCCGTTCTGGTTTTTCTCAGCCATCACCTCTTGCCTGGGGCTGCTCGTTTATTCTTTTTCCCCTTCCCCCTCTAGTTTTCCCAAGACTGTTGTTTCTGAAGCTAGACAGTCTTACTCACAGGCTTTGCCAAGTTACATTGAAATAGAGATCGTTCACCTCCCTTCCTCCTCCACTCCCTCTTTTGTGACCTTTGACCTGCACCGTGACCTTTATCCTGGTGGTCAATATCTAGAAGAGTGGCTGGGACACCTGGTCTCCCGGACAACTTGTGTCACCACCCTTTTAAAAATCTCAAAACTCATAGATTGTTAACACCTTCTTCGCTTTCTGCCATTTTTGTTTTGTTTTTAACCTGTTTGTAATTCTGCTTACAACTTATCCCTCAGAAGTCATCGAAGATGAACTGGGCCTAGCACTACCCCTTAACGCTGTTTCCCTGGAGTGCCTGCCTCTGGCATGCCCTTTGATATCTTGGTTTTCTGGTGTTATGAGCGTTAGTCCACTTCTGAGGGTTGGGCGTTTTCCTCCCAGCTCCGACTAGCCTCCTAACCACCCCAGATAGAATTGTGGCAGAAGTTTGTGTGATTCAGGCTGTCTAATTTAAAGAAGAACTACACATTCCTTTCTGTTCTCCAGTCTTTCTGCAGCCCTCTCCAACTCTGTGTTATTGGGTCTATCTGAGACAAGTTTTCTTGAGTTTGGAGGAGTGCTGGATTCAAGGGCCATAGTGTGTGCTCTGGTGCCTGAAGCTGGCAGAGGCAAACTCTTCAATTTCCCTGTTCTCTGCCCATCCTGCTCAGGTGATCTCTGTCATCCTGGGAGGAACACTAAGGTCCTTGGCAGGTGGTGAATCCCAGGAGGTGGGGCCAGTTGGCAATAGGGGCTGTGGAGGAGGAGAGGAAGTGGGTGGGAGATGCCTCTTCCACAGATGAGGAGTGGCGAACGCACCAGGGAACTTTGGCTTCCAGCCAGGCTAGGGCCAGGGCAGGGCTGGCAGGGCTAAAGACCGTGGGGCAGCAGGGGTTACCTCCCTAGAGCAGGCTGGCCTGAATCATAGAGCCAGGGCCCTGGGCACAGCATCTGAGGACCTAGGCCACAGCCACCTACCCCCAATTCCTCGACTGCTAGACTTCCCAGACTTCTACTCTCTGTGGAGTCCTGGGTTTAGTGAGTAACTACTTATTAGCATCTATAATATGCCAGGCACTTGCTGTTCTAGCATAGGAGATACAGCAGTGAAGAAAGCAGCCACAACTCCCTTCCCTCCTGGAGCTTATATGGAAAGAGGAGGGGAGCAGAGGTGATTTGGAGGGGCAGACAAAATCCGGGTCTCCCAGCTGACACTCCCAGGGGCCGAGTGTGGAGAAGCTAGTTCTGCTGTGGACACTCCAGGGGCCGAGTGTGGAGAAGCTAATTCTGTTGTGGACACTCCAGGGGCCGAGTGTGGAGAAGGTAATTCTGTTGTGATGGCACCTGAGACATGCTGGCCAGAAATGTTTTGCCATCTTCACTATTTGTGCTGGGGTGGCCACACTTCCTCAATGTTTGGTGTGTCTAACAGGCACTGCCCAGCCTGCCTCAGATCCTCCACCTCACAGCCCCCTTTGTGCCTGTAGTCAGCAGCAATAATTGCTCCCCAAAGGGCACTAAAGGTGCCAGCTGATCTGAACAAACTGCCAAGGTCCAGGACTGGGGATATCTGCTTGCAAATGGCCACACTCACCTGATCTGCTCCTGTCCACTGCCAACTCAACGGTCACTTCACATGGGCCCAGATTTGATGGGCAGATGCAGAGCCTGTGCAGGTAAGCAGACAGCCTCCCCTCTCAGTCCATTTCAGCAGAAAAGTGGTGTGCTCTTTTTATTCAACCTCAGGCTTAAGAAAGTGTGATGAGACTGTCCTGTCCCTCCACAATCCAGCCCTTCAGACACACCCAACAGATGTGCACATACAAGGTAGACACACAGACACACATGTCATCAGTGCATTCACAAAAGAGCAATCTGCACACGAGTGTGGTGCTGCCCGGGTGTGTCAGGATACAGAAGAGAAGAAGCAGAATTAGTCTTTAAAGGCTGGAGGAGCCCCAGAGATGAGGAAACTGGGGTCAGAGAGGGGAGAACTGTTGAAGGCCGCACAGCTGTTTGGTAGCTGGGCCAGAACTCCTGATCCCTTCTACTGCCCCGCATTAGCCCCGAGGCTTCTCCATGTCAGAGAGCACAGCAAGAACCCTCCCTGTTGCCTGAGAGGCACAGGTGGGGCCCTCCTGGAGGGAGGATGTTGGTGAGATGCCAGCCTCTCAGAGGCCCTCCCAGGGAACCCCGACAGAAGGAGAACTGGAGAATTCCAAGTGTATCTTGGCTGTTCATCTCCAACCTTTTTTTTTTTTTTTTGAGACAGGGTCTGGAGTGCTGTGGTACAATCACGGCTCACTGCAGCCTCAACCTCCCAGGCTCAAGTTATCCTCCTACCTTGGCTTCCCAAAGTGCTGGGACTACAAGTGTGAGCCACTGTGCTTGGCTCCTTCAGCCACTTCAATGGCCTCGTTTGTTCCCATGGTTAGGATGCTTCCTCCACCAAGTCTCTCTGTGGCTCATACTGGGGAGAAGCTGCCACACAGGGAAACTGCAGGGAGGGAAAGTGGGGAGAAACAGGATGCCGCTCCAGCTCTTTCTCAGGGTGGGGACCCAGAGGCCCTGTCTGAACTGAGGAGTGCAGGACCTGGAAACCAGCCTGGTGAACACTGGCGTGGAGCTCCAGCCTGTGGGTGTGGGCTGAGGGGCTGGTGATCCTGGCACGCTGTGGGATGCTGCTGAAACCTCCTCAGTGTCTTGTCACTGGGTCTGGAGGTTGCTGTGGAGGGTTGGGGGTGTTTGTCACCTGACACCTGATGGGAAGTCTGAGCTGAAAGTGGCAGCCTTACCCTCGTGCTGGGCTTGGCACTGCCTCAGTGTCTCTTGGACACTGAAAACTTGGACATCCTGAAAACTCTTCCCTTTTTCTTGCTTGCCAGCCCCCTTCCCTCTCCCAGTTACATCTGAGAGACATATCTGACCTGAGCCTTCAAACCAGCTGCCTTTGCTCAGCATTTATTCTTTCAAGAAATAGTTGTTGGAGACTTATGACACGCAAGGCACTGGGATACAGCAGTGAAGGAGGCACAGTCCCTGCATTGTGACAAGGAAGTGGGTCATTAAGAGAGGGTGTCACTTTAGGGTTAGGTGCAGGGTGTGCACGGGGAGCTCATAATACCTGGGAGGCCATCTCGCCGTCGGTGGCCAGGCTGTGGCCATGTGGCCTGGTGGCCAGACCTTTGCAGTTTACTACAACTCTGGAAGAGCTCAGGAAGCACACTTCATACAGTTCCCATATTTCATGGATGAAGAGTGTGAGGCCCAGAGCCTGACAGGAAGCTTAGAGTAAAACTGCAATAGGACAGTTGTCTCCTGTCCCCCAGAACAGTGTTTGCTCCATGCCGCACTGATCTGTGTGCTGGAGCAGATGGTAAGTGTTCTCCATGAGTTCCACCCACTAGGGGCTTGCTGGGCTGTGGGGAAGATAGAACTGACACGTGTGAAACAGGCATCATGTAAAATGGTATATGAGAGAATTTAAAAATATAGGCCAGGCGCAGTGGCTCACGCTTGTAATTCCAGCACTTTGGGAAGCCGAGGTGGGCGGGTAGCTTGAGCCTGGGAGTTTGAGACCAGCCTGGGCAACATGGCAAAACCCATCTCTACAAAAAATAAAAAAATTAGCTGGGTGTGGTGGTGTGCACCTGTGGTCCCAGTTACGCAGGAGGCTGAAGCGGGAGGACGGCTTGAGCCTGGGAGGTGGAGGCTGCAGTGAGTTGTAATTGTGCTACTGCAGTCTGTCCCAGGTGATAGAGTGAAACCCTGTCTCAAAAATAAAAAAAGTAAACCAATGAAATTCAGACTGTGAGTGATGCAGTCTCTGGATGGACCTCGAGTGCTTCAGAGGACCCTTGCTCTCCTGCTGGCTCCAGATGCCCCATCTCAGGCACACACAGGAGCATGGTGGGAAGCAGCGGCAAGCACAGGAGGGGAGGCCGAGGCAGCTGGCTGGGTCTAAACATTTCCCACGGATAAATCAGAGTGGATCCACCCACACACACTTCAGATGGGATTGCTGAATGCATTCCCACCTTGTCTCTGTAAAGCTGTGTCCGACATGAGGCATCCAGGTGATGCATTGTTTGCTTGTGTGTTTCCATGAATGAGAGCTTCTGTAGCCATGGAGCTGTGTTTTTCATGATCCTGAGAGGGCAGTCCCTTGGGCACCCAGTCTTGGCCTAGGAATTCCTGCCTCATTCTGAGGTGCATGACGCCCAGCTGACCTATAGGCACTAAATCGGCACGTACTGATGATGAGTATGGTGACAGTGACAATGAGGTCAGGAAACTGAGAGCCATTATGCTAGGAGTGACTGACTCACCATAAATGGAGAACAGAAATCTCTTCCTGCTCTGCTTTAAGAGGGGTAGATATTTGAAAGCCCCGATGCAGAGGAATGAAAAATTAGGGCCCATGACTCATTCTTGCCAAAGAATTAGTCTCTTTGAAGGAGGACTCAGCAGAGGGCTCTTCTGATCAGTCAGCTCTCTTTGTGTATGTTCAAAGTGCAATTGATTGACATGTCACTTGCAGGAGGGCTTCCAGGGTGTAAAACCAGATATATTACTGGGATGTCATGAGTAAGATAGTCAGGGCTGTGTCTGTGATGCAGGTTACATCTGAGCAGCCAGAACACCACTTTCCTCCCTTCCCAGAAGAGGGTAAAATGGCCCAGAAGCACCACAGGCAGACGCCGGGATGACCTCTGCGTGATCCTACCTGTGGGTATTCTGGCTGTGCTCCCATCTGGCGGTGAGGGAGAGGAATTCCTTTTAAAGGAAATGCCTGAAAGTGCTTTTCATTCACCCCCTCCAGCACTCGTTTATTAAGCAAGAGTTAGTCAACTTGGGGTGAGCCCAGAGACTAATGAAAATGACCAACGAATTGGGAAACAGAGGTGGGAGCAAAGGGGAAAGGAAGTATGACAGGAGACCAATGTGTTTCTTTGTTGTTGCTGCTCTTACCATCAGGGAGTAAACTTAATCGGCAAGAAGGATTCCACTAAGGGCTTCTAGATTCTAATGGTGAACAGAAAAATATGCTTCTAAGGGAAGTTGTAGAGATTTCTATAAATTCTTCCTGGAATGATTTAGGGCATGTGATTCTGCAATAAACGGAGATTTAAAAAAAATCTCTAAGATAAACACCTATACTCTCTACCCCGATAATGCTCTTTAGGCATCATGGTATTTTATGGATTTAGGATGGAAATAGCGTTTCCCTGCATCTTTCAAAATTTCCCCCGGAAGAGACATGCCCACAGAGCCCCTCTGAAGTTGGACCTGCCATTGCTCATGTTCCTTCATTCTTTGCATCCATTGCCCTTGCCTCTTGATTTATGTGGAGTGTGTGTGCGTGTTCGTGCGTATAGTTCTGGCTCTGCCAGGTAAGAGGGATTTTCAAAGGTAAGCACATAAGTCAGTTGAATTCAACGTGCATCTAATAATGTACCTACCCTCCTTTAATTTGTTCTGAAGTATTCAGGACCCTGCTATGCCACAGGTAATCTTAAACTATATTGCTGAGTGACTTTGCTGGGTTTTTGAGTGACATAAGGCACCTACGAACAAATAATGAACTTTTGAAGACATTTTCCAAGGCAAAGGTAACACAGGCTAAAGACAGTTACATTTCACTCATCACTTTCTCATTACCATGGAATGAACAAGAAGTCAGAGTAGGGGAAATAAAGCTTCAGAGACTAGCACAGGTTCCCAGGAGGAGGAAAGACAAAAACAAAGCTTGGAGGGAGTCCAGAGCTGGGGGAGGAGAGAACAGTCGGCTGAGCCAGCTTGGGGGAAAAGCAAGCATTCCTCTTTTTCCCAATGTGGGTTGGAATTTCCAGGTTAAAAGGTGATCATTGCTCTGGCTGATGTCACCATCCAGCAGTTGCTAGTTTAGGTGAGGAGCCAGCTTCTGCATCTGCTCTTAGCACCCAGAGCAGTAGCTCCTTCACTAGAGGGCAAGCAAAGAAAGGAAAGACTGGGGTGGTGGGGAATGCGGTCAGTCTCATCTTGTTCATGCTGGCAGCACTCTCCCTCCCTCCTGGGACCAGAGCGGGAGGCGATGGAGCCAGATTCCCTGAGTAAGACCACACCTCCCTAGCATTGCAGAAGAGCCAAGTTCCTAAGATGAGGCAGGTTGTTCCTTGGATCCTGGCTCTGCCTTTCTGCCTTTTACTCACCAAGTTACTTAACTTTTCTGAGGCTTGGTTTCCTCATCTTTAAAATGAAGATAAAGTTTAGCAAGGCTGTTGGTTACAAGATCAAGGTACATAAATCAATTATTTTCATGCATTACCTTTCAGTAATTGAAAACATGGTGGAGAGAAAGGAGTTCTAACTCATAACACAAAACCTCTGAGATACCTAAGGATACCTAACAACAACAACAACAACAACAACAACAACACAACAACAGCAACAAAATGCACAAGAATAACCAGAAAACATTGAAGACAAACAATGAGTAGGACTTGCTGTATCAGAAACCAACATGTAAGTAACAGAATAAACATCACCAAGATGGCAGAATAGAAGGTAACTTGCTCATATCTCCCCTCACAACAACAAGAATTCTGCACCCAGTCACAGTCCAAAGTCTCTCTGCAGGAGCCTCAGGGTTCAGACATCATTGCACATCCTTGAGCATCGAGGATGTTCACGGAAAAGACCTCACCAAACAGACAAAATAAGGAACCAGAGACTGACCCTAAAGTAACAGAGAAACCAGCATGTAATACAAAGGTTTAGTAATCACAGTGGTGTGATCAGACAAAGCGATCAATGAAATAGAAGAGGAAGTGTATGAATTCAGCATGTAATAAAAGTGGTATTTCAATGGGGGAAAAAGTAGGATGTTGATCTTTAGGTAGCAGAAAAGTATGAAAATGAAAATAGCAATTACCCAAATTCGCACTCCTCAGAATTAATGACTATTAATATTTTGTCCTATTTGCTTTTGTCCTTTTTCTCCATGTTAACATCCTTTGATAAACTATAGACATAATAAATACAATGTCCTTTAAAAACAATCCACAGCTCAAGCTTCTGGCAAGATGGTTTACCAGCTGGGGCTGTTATCTCCCTCCCACAGGATGAATCCTGAGAAACTGTAGACACGCATGACAGGCACAGATACCAGGAACTATGAACTAGGACCTCACAAATGAAGACACTCCAGGGGCACCCAAGTCTGTTTTGAGCTGATATGAGTTGGGGCAGGTGAGTAGAGCTAAGGCCTGAGGTAATAATGAGGGGGTGGTTTGGAGGAAGGGTCTTAAGCTTGGTCCTTGCCTTTTGTCTACCTCTTCTAGGAGAAATCCAAAGCAGCAGCTCAATCACCTGTGTCCTTGTCTGTGGTTCAACATAAAGGAGGTTGACTTCATAGTCAGGGTTGCTAGATTTAGCAAATAAAACTATAGGATGTGCAGTTCAGATTGAATTTCAGATCAGCTACAAATTTCTTTTTAGTTTAAGTGTGTTTCATACACTATTTGGGACATACTTAGACTATGAATTTTTGTTGTTTATCTGTAGTTCAACTTTAACTGGGATTTGGGTTGCAATGGTTCATGCCTATAATTCCAGCACTTTGGGAGGTTGAGGTGGAAGGATCAGTTGAGCCCAGGAGTTTGAGACTGGCCTGGGCAAATAGTGAGACCCTATCTCTACAAAAATTACAAAAAAGAAGAAATTAGCTAGGCATGGTGGCGCATGCCTGTGGTCACAGGTACTCAAGAGGCAGGAGGGTCACTTGAGCCTGGGAAGTCCAGTCAGCAGGGAGCCATGACTGCACTACTATACTCTAGCCTGGGTGTTAGAATGAGACTCTGTCTACAAACAAAACACAACAAAATTAACTGGGCTTCTTCTATTTGTCTGGACAACCCTATTCACAGATGACTCGAATGCCTGCTCCAAGTCTCAAGCTAGCTGGCATCTAGTGGGCCTCTCAGAGTTGGTAAGCATCTGGACTACACTTGAGGATAGTGAGGGACCCTGCCAGTAGCCTGCTGTCCTGGAGCTTTTCACCCGAGGAGGGAGAATGACTTTGCCTGGCACACTGGGAAGTTGTCCTAACAGCTTTTGGGACTTGTACAACGTGGCAGTTCCTACGCTCTGCTTCCACCATGCCTTTGACTTCAAACCCTAGACTGCAGTGATAGAAAGGGAGGGGGTCACTAATTCCCCAAGGTCTCCTCCAGCTCCAAAGCTTCTGCTAATGACCTGCGCAGCGGCAAGACCCTTGCCCGCCCACAGACAACCATGGGAAGAAGGCGAGACCTCAACTGCAGTAGTGACCCATGGGAAAGAGTCTCTGCTGTGGCATCAAATGGGAAAAATATGACCATAGCTGAAAGGGTTGCTGTTGTTCTTCTGGAAGTTCCCCTCACTTTTTATTCTTCTGCTCACAGATAAGACCTGATTAGCCAGGGTGTAGAATAAGCTTGTATAAACATAGCCTAAAAGATAGAGATTCTGTTTCGGTCTAAAAGTGAAAATTACAACCCTGGTGTTGATACCTGGTCAATTTGAATGAACATCCAAGTGTCAATTTTTGCTTGTCAAAATTATCATGGAAGTTTACGGTTAAAATGTGCATGGTTTTTTTGTTTTGTTTTTTGTTTTGTTTTGTTTTGTTTTTCATCCTGTTATCAAATGAGGAACTCCTTTAACCTTCATCACCCAAGCTGGAGTGCAGTGGTGCAATCATAACTCACTGTACCCTCAGACGCCTTGGCTCAAGTGATTCTCTTGCTTCGGTTTCCTAAGTAGTTAAAACTACAGGTGTGCACCACCATGCCCAACTAGTTTTTTAGTTTTTTGTACAGACAGGGTCTGGCTATGTTGCCCAGGCTTGTCTCACACTCCTGGACTCAAGTGATTCCTGCCTTAGCCCCCAAAAGTGTTGGGATTACAGGCCTGAACCACTGTGCTCAGGCTCCATGTTGATCTGAGTGTCGTCTGTCAGCATGCACCGTGTCATCTCATGGACCATGTCATCTCTACCAGCAGCAACTCAACACAAATTCTCTAATTTTATAAAGAAATTTTATGAATTTATTTTATTGACTTTTTTTTGACAACTTCACTTTTTCTAAGAGTTGTTGAGGTATAATGTACAGATAGTCAAAGTCACTGTTTTTAGGTGTACAATCATAAACATTCTAACCAGCCTTTCCCAAGATAAGTTTTTTTTTTCTTTTTCTTTTTCTTTTTTCAATAGAGTTCATGCTTTTTGTCCAGGCTGGAGTGCAGTGGCATTATCTCGGCTCACTGCAGTCTCCGCCTCCCAGGCTCAAGTGATTCTTGTGCCTCAGACTCCTGAGTAGCTGGAATTACAGGTGCATACCACCATGCCCAGCTAAGTTTTGTATTTTTAGTAGAGGCAGAGTTTCTTCTTGTTGACCAGCTGGTCTCGAACTCCTGGCCTCAAGTGATCCACCTGCCTCCACCTCCCAAAGTGCTGGGATTAACAGGCGTGAGCCACCAGCTCCGGCCCCTAGATAAGTTCTTAAATTTGGCACGTGTATCTTTGAGTTGTGTCAAAACCATTCCAACACACACGGCACTGCACTGCTTCAAATCCACACACTGAGATTTGAGGATGCCCCTTTACTGTATCTATTAGTTTGAATGATGAATTTTAGAAGTTATATCAGAGCAAGCATTGGTGGCAAATGCTTAATAGTCTTAATAATCATAGAGTCAGAGCAAGCAGTTGCTTCTTACCAAGTGTTTCTGATCTACAGGGTCAGTGCAGTGTTTCCCTGGTGGTGGGGAGCCAGGGATTGAGGGAGCCTCAGAGATCAGTGTGGGGCCAAGCCACCAAGTGATGGGGCTGAAAAATAAAAAATATAAATAAATCTTAGTTATCAGATTATGCTGATCCAGATTCCAGGACTTAGCTTCCCTTTTGGTTCTGATGCTTTCTAAAAGACTCCATTTGTGGAAAAAGCCCTGAGTGGTGAGGGTTGAGTAGTTGGTGATTGTCCACCAGAGTGTGCGACAGAATCACACAATGCTGACTGATGGAGGAGGCTGTGGAGGAGGAGCTCCCGACTTGTCCTCCATGATGACTTGTCAGTGGGGAGAGGAGCAGTTCCCCAAAGATGAGAAACCATTTGTGTGGTGAGAATGTTTCTAAACCAGGATGTGGTCAGCAATACAATCTAACACAACATGTTCACATTCTCAATCTGCTTTATTCAACAGAATGAAAGAAGGCAAAGAGAGCCGAGAAAGCGGTGCAGGAATGCAGACTGCATCAGAGGGTATATCACACGCCATTCAGGGACACTGCAAGAGAAGATCAGGACAACTGATTTGTCAGATGGGAATTCCTGAGTGTAGCTATAATGGGCAGAACAGTTAGCAATTAAAGAGAGGACTCCTTGTCTGCAGCTGGACTTAGACTGAGTTTCAGTTCTCATGGGTGTATGGGTCATTTTCTTCTCAGAATTATGGCAGACTCAGATACCTGTAATAATATGGGAGCATAAAAAGAACACTTGCATGTCTGAGTGATGATAACTGTTGACCTGATGGTGAGCAACAGGAGCTCAGAGGAACAGGTACTGATGAGAAGAAAAGTGAGGGCATCTCAGCTCTGCCTGGGAGGGCAGGGGAGACTGGAGGCCAGGGGAGGACAAGCAACCTGAGGAGAGGGCTCTGCAGCCAGAGAGGGGCCTGAGGACTGTTGGACCAAGAGCTGGTGGCAGCACTTCAGTGCTTGTAGCTCTTCCTGCTGGAGGAGGAGGTGGTGGTGTACTTGATGGTGGAACTGCCGCCGCCAACAGAGCTGAGGCCACCTCCAATGGCTCTGCCGCTGCTGGAACTGAAGCCACCTCCAACGCCAAGACCACTGCCATAGGAGTAGCTGCTTCCTCCACCCAGGCCTAAGCCACTGCCGACACCGCTGGCACCGCCATAGCCACTGGAGACAGTGGATTGTACCACAGCTGTGGTGGGGAGGGAGACAAGGACACAAGAAGCCATGGTGAGCTCATCCTGTCAGCCTGAGCCCAGTCAGAAGAGTGCAAGGGCAGGGGAGGAAGGCAAGCAAAGGTACTTACAGATGTTGACTTGTCCAACGCCTTCGCCATTCAGCCTGTAGAGAGGAACACAGGGAGGGTGAGACCTCAGAGAGCCCTTCCCCGGAGGAGCATGGGAAGCCTTGGTGGGTGGATGAGTCTACGGGAAAACTTTTAGTTTTCTCCCAAGAAGAGCAATTATGGTCTTGGGCAGTGCACCTTAAAGTTGTGCTCAGTGCCAGGAACGTTGAAGAAGGACTCAGCTGTTGGAGGAAGTCGCGTCAGTTACCCACCTGCACTCCTCGCCCTCCAGCAGCTTGCGATAGGTGGCGATCTCCACGTCCAAGGCCAGCTTGACATTCATCAGCTCCTGGTACTCTTTCAGCAGTCGGGCCAGGTCCTGCTTGGCCTTCTGCAGGGCATCCTCCAGCCCTTCCAGCTTGTTCTTGGCATCCTTGAGTGCCATCTCCCCACGCTGCTCAGCATCAGCAATGGCAGCCTGCAGGTTGGCACACTAAGAGGGGAAAGGAATGGAAAGAGCTTGTCATCTGGTCTTCCAGAGGAGACTAAACCTGGCTGGTTCTTTTCCAGCGAAGAAGGTACCAGGAACCCAGAATTGATGGTAAATGAGCTCTGACACTTCCTGTCTAGCCTTTTTACTATCTTCAAACCTTTTACATCTGGAGTTACATGATAAAATCCTGTGCCCCTTTGTGTTAACTCCCCTGCCTAAAGATGTGGGTGATGACCCATGGAAGATGCCAGAGTGGACACAAGATCAAGTACATTAAGTGTTGTCTCCAAAGCAAAACCAAAACCATTTTTGATGATCTTGTATGGATGCCACAATAATTTGCAAACATTGTCAACTGAGGTGATGAGTTTTCACATGAGGCTGTTGAGACCTTGCCTTCCTCCTGCCTCACATTCTCTCACCCGCTTGGGCCATGTTTTCCTTCCTCATGGCCCTGGTTTCACTTTCTTTTTCACCGTGAACCTTGAGCAGATTTGCAGCAATGTTACTCATGCTTTCTGACCTGACACCTCACCCAACTTGGTCCTTTGCAGTTCCAAAGTCAATCAGTCTTCTTACATAAGCCTTTCCAATGCCTCTAGACTATACTTTTACATCTTTGACCAGGTGAAAGTGCTTCTGCCCAGGTGATTGTTTCATGTCCTTGGGTGTGATCCATGTCTCTGAGCCAGAGTGTTCTCACTGAGCCTAGGAACTGCATGTCTTTCCTTCTCTGCTTATCACTCGATTCCCAAAGAATTTTACTAAATGATGGTTGACTGCTGCCTCATGACCTAATAAAAAAAAATGATGCTTTTCTCCTCCATTGCCCCTCACTATACCTGCTTCTTGACGTGGTCGATCTCGGATCTCAGCCTCTGGATCATGCGATTGATCTCAGCAATCTCCTGCTTGGTGTTGCGCAGGTCATCCCCATGTCTGCCCGCTGTGACCTGCAGCTCCTCGTACTGCAGCCCAGAGGTGGAGAGAGAGACAGTGTCTACGGGTCCTTACCTGGTTAGTGATGACTTTCACTTGTGTATCATGCATGTCATGAAGTGGACCTAATGGCTTCTCCCCAAGAAACTTGAGGAAAAGTTGATATTATGTGGTGGATGGATAATAAACTCTAGAGTCACAGACCATCCTCATTATGGCACCACTGCCTGCCTAGTTTCGTTAGGGAGTAGAAATGTTCTGTACCATTTTCTAAAAGTCAGCAATCAGGATGAAGCTAAATGCAGAGATGACTATGTCATTGTCTATGGTAGTTTTCCTCCTGTGTTGGGTTCTTTTTCCTTCTTGACTTGAGCGTAAGTTCCGCAAATGTCTACTCTAATAGTGCAGGTGCACGTCCTGTGAGAGGACCCTGGCTTCCTGTAAGGGGATGTCCCCAATGAAGTCTGCAGTTCTCTGGTATTCAGAGCTGGACACAGGGATTCCTCAGCGGCTACCCATACCCTGCTCACCTTGCTCTGGTACCAGGACTCGGCCTCAGCCCGGCTCCTCTGAGCAATCTCCTCGTATTGGGCCTTGACCTCAGCGATGATGCTGTCCAGGTCCAGGTTGCGGTTGTTGTCCATGGACAGCACCACGGATGTGTCTGAGATGTGGGTCTGCATCTGGGACAGCTCCTGCAGAACAGAAGGTCATAAGATCAACTTCACTTCTGACATTTACAGAGATACCCAGCCCTATACATCTTCTCCCCTTTGCAGACCCCTCAGAGTAAACAGAAGGATGGTGGAGATGCTTACTGCTTCATACAAGGCTCTCAGGAAATTGATCTCGTCTGTGAGAGTGTCTGCCTTGGCTTGCAGTTCAACCTTGTTCATGTAAGCAGCATCCACGTCCTGGGGAAAGAGCCAACAACCTGGAGTTACCTGAGCGAAGCTTCCCAATCTACCCATCTTCTAGTCCCCCTACCGATTCTCCTCTCCCAGGTGAGCGACAACACAGAGCCACTTCTGTCCTAAGTGAATTTGAACCCCACGGCTTCATCTGCTCACCTTCTTCAGAGTCACAAATTCATTCTCTGCTGCTGTGCGCTTGTTGATTTCATCCTCATATCTGCAGGAAGGAAGGCATGGGATATATTAGAGCCAGTGGGTAGGATGAAACAGAAAAGCAGCCTGGGATCCAACATTTTCCCAAATGGAATATATTCTAATTGAGCTTTCCTGTCATAGAGCGCCTAAGGGACGGTTTTTGCTTCTCCTAAATTTGTCACTTCTTTAATCTCCCTATCCTCCCATAACCATTTGTGGTTCTTGCAGGTTTGCTTCTAGGGACTAATTTGTGCTTTCCATTTCCATGGACATGGGTTGTTAGGAATGCCACCCCCATCTGGCCCTGGTCACCCAATAGTCTTGAAGTGTGTGCTGCAGGAAACTGAGTCCTCACTTGTTCTTGAGGTCCTCCACTAGGTCCTGCATGTTTCTCAGCTCTGAGTCCAGGCGGCCCCGTTCCCCGACGATACTGTCCAGCTGCCTCCTGAGGTTGTTGATGTACTGCTCGAACAACGGCTCCAGGTTCTGCCTCACGGTCTTGGTGCCCTGCTCCTGCAGCAGGGTCCACTTGGTGTCCAGAACCTTGTTCTGCTGCTCCAGGAACCGCACCTGGAGGGGAAGCAAGACGGTCATTTTCCAGGCAAAGGAAGGAAGAAAAAGTGTCTGATATCTGGTTTCCTGGCAGGTCCAGGAGGTCCCCATGGTGCTGGGCTACTACAGTGCAAGTAAAGAGGCTCAGGCTGGGCTCTGCTCCCCCAACCCCTTCTCCTTTGCACCCCACCAATCTCACTAGAGAAATTGTCCCACGGACCATTGAGGTGTGTGTTCTCACACTGTAATCTATTAATTGTATCAGTGAGTTTCAACATTTCTTCGTTTTCTCTTTCAGAGCACAGTCACAAATCTAGTTTAAAAATACTATTTACCTGATGTGTTGTACAGTTTTTGTTACTGATAGGACCTCAGTTAGGAGGGATATTAGATGTTGCCTTATGATTAGATTCCAGTCTACTTTCCCATTTAGTGTGGTGTCTCCTCTCAAATATTCTGATGTTATGATCATTCTCTGTTTTTAAAATTAATTAGCATTTCTCCAGGTTTTATAGTTGTTTCTATGCCCATTTTTTCTTAATCCAGCCAGATTATCTTTTTCTTTTCTTTCTAAATTTTTTTCCTCTTACTCAGACCTGAGAGTGTAATTTACCAGCCCATATACTCCTGGCATTTGCTTTGTAATCTCTTAGACACTTTAGAGGGAAGAGTTAACCTACTCCACTCTCCGATGGCCTCATCTGTGCTTCAGGGTTGTGAAAAGTTGTGGCTCTCCCTAGGCAGGAGTGAGAACCAATCCGTAGATCCCATGTGGGAGTGATGCCCGTCCCTGTTGCCGGCTGTGCGGCTGTGCACCCGAAGCCACGTGCACTCTCTGCAGAGCTGGGCTGAGTCCCCTTCTCCCTCCCTCCTAGGTCTCCCTGCCAGGAATGTGTTCCTCCTCTGGTCTGGGGACCCTGAAGTGCCCCGTGGAGGGCATGACCCTGGCTCACCTTGTCGATGAAGGAGGCGAACTTGTTGTTGAGGGTCTTGATCTGCTCGCGCTCCTCGGCCCGCACCCGCTGGATGGCGGGGTCGATTTGCAGGTTGAGGGGAGTCAGGAGACTCTGGTTGACGGTGACCTCTTGGATGCCTCCAGGGGGGCACACAGGGAAGCCAGGGCCCCCAAAGCCACCAGCAAGGCCGGCTCCACCACCCAGACCAAAGCCAATGCCGGCTCCACCACCGAAACCAAATCCACTCCCGGCGCCACCAAAGCCATAGCTGCCTCCGGCTCTGCTGCCATAGCCGCCACCGATGGCACAGCTGCCCCCTCCAATGGAGATCCTCTTGGAGCCCCCCAGGCCATACAGGCTGCGGCTGCCAAAGCCAGCTCCTCCACATGCGCCACCCAGGCCACCACTGCCCCTGGAGCGGGACACGGAGACGCTGCTGAAGCCAGAGCGGCTGACCCCAGGGAGCCTGGCTGAGCCGGCACTGAAACCCCTGCGGCTGCTGCTGTGGCTCCTGATGGTGGTGGATGTGCTGGCCATGGTTCCAGGAGATGAGAGGGCTGTGGAGAGCGTGAGAGGCTGGAGGTGAGAGGGAAGAGAAGCAGGACTAGGAATCAGGCTCCGGGCAGCAGCTTATATATGGAGAGCATGGGCTGGGCCCAGTCCTGGAAGGTGAGCTTGCAGGTTGGGAAGGGCTGGGCTTTACAAATAGTGAGATCACACCTGCATTATTACAAAAGTTATGAAACACCGAGATTGCAATTTTCGCTTCCTTTAGTCAGGGAAAATGTTCCTGCCTCCAGCTTTGACTCGAGATCTCAGCACAATAAGAGCATTCTCAGTTCATGAAGCTGGAGTTAGTCACTGTCTCTAGCAAAGGTTCTGCATGCTAGGCTGTTTATCAACATGCCCCGAGTGTTCTCCTCTTCCCAGTCTGACTTTCTTCCAGCAGATATATTGGAGATCACACGCACTGTATTGCAAATGGCTTAACAGAAAAATTACCATTTCCCCATAATTGTTTCACCTTTTAGGTGCAATTTTAAACAGGTAGAGAAGCAGAACAACACAATGGGCCTGTATATACCTGTCACCTGCTTCCATGATGATTAACTCATGGCCCGCCTAATTTCTTTCATACTTCAACCCAATTTCCTCTTCCATTCTAAATTGTTTGAAAGCAAATTCCAGAAGTCATATTATGTCTTCAACAAATAATTCAATATTAATATCTAAATAATAGGTTCTTTAAAAAAAACCAAAAAGCTTTTTTTGTATGTTAAAATTTACATACTAATTAAAATGAACAAATGTCTATTTAGTCTTCAAACAGTCCTGTTTTTGATATCTATTTCTTATATTTTGGCGTCCCAATCAGGGTCAAAATAAGCTCTATAAACGTAGTATTTGAGTGATATATCCTTTAAATCATTGAAATTTAGAAATCTCCCTTCATTTCTTTATTTTATTTGTTAAATAAAACAGGTCAACTGTTCGTTGTACTTTTTCATTCTTGGGGTTTTTCTAATTGCATACCCCTATTGTTTCCTTTAATATGTGACTCTAACCTTCATATTACGTATTAAAATTAGAAGCTTATTAAGATTCTTTCTATGTTTAAACATTCTAGATGTAGATGTAGTAGATTGCCCATTTAAATTTTGAATAGTACTACTTGCACAATTATTTACATGTTTACAAATTGAATACATGATACATGTTTTAAAAATTTTTTTGTAAAACATGCTAAACAACAAAATAATGTAGCTCAAGGCCATTCCCCAGTTACCCAATTCCTATCTGTGGAGGAAGTAATATTAGCAGTTCCTTGTGTATCCTTGTATCTTTACTTGGATATTTTTCTGTGCTTTTCCTGGGCCATGGGTGACATGTCTGTGCATATGTGTTTGTGTCAATGTGCGTTTGTATGAGTGAGGAAGAGGTGGAGGGAGCTGGCGTATGTAGAGAGGGAGCCTGCATTGTAGAAAGGTATATAAATAAATACATGACTGTTTTGTGTGTATGTGTTTGAGTGTTTTATGTATATAAAATATTTCATGTGTTCATATATACAAAACATAAAAATATTGTCTTTTCCAATTGTGATTGCGTTGTGTCTGCTTTGTCTCCCACATCTATGTTTTCTGATTCTCTTTTTAACAGGCTCTAATCTCTTTTTCATAGTGGTTTGCTTTTCCCAGTTATTCTGGGACATTTCCCCCAAATGTCCATTACTGTCTCTTCACCAATGTCTTTCCTCCTTATGCTGCT